TATAGAGGACTTGGTTGATGCTATGAGTTTGATGGAGAGTGAGATAAAGGCACGGCTCTACTTAGTAGTATCAAGTGAGCTGCAAGAGAGGTGGCTCCGTCAGGAGATTCAAAAATTGCGGAATTAGCCCTATAGTAATCTGTAACTATTAACGCTTCTTACGGGCTAAAACATATTTACAGTAATCTTTCCACATGTCTTCTGCAATCTGATCCCGTAGTTTTTTCATATCTGCTGAACCAGTATCCCCCACAACCATACACTCAGAATCATCCTCAAAATTACCAGTACTTGAACTCTCACAACTTGCTGCTTGCATTTCCTCTCTTTTCTCATCCTCCAAGATTTGTTTCAACCACTCTTTGTACTCAGCTCCATCCGTTTCCTCTTGCAAAAAATTGTGCATAGCAGTAAGAGCAAGAACCACCTTGACCTGTACCGGAAAGTCATATTCCATCTGGGTTTGGAAAATTGTAAACCGCTTCTTGAGTACACCAAAGATCCGCTCTATCACATTCCTTGCTTGTGCATGCCGAAGGTTAAACAGCTCCTCCCGGCTCTGTGGTCGGTGGGAGGCAAGCGCCTGCTCCCTCAAATGGTAGCGTACTCCTCTATATGGTGTTAGATACCCAGTGGAGCATGAGTATCCAGCATCAAGCAAGTAGTATTTGCCTGTAGGAACATGAAACCCCTTGGACTCAGCATCGGCAAGAACTCGGCTATCGTGTGCAGATCCCTCCCAACCGGGTAAGACATAGGTAAAGTAAAAGTCAAACCGACATGATGCGAATACATTCTGAGATATGCTGCCTTTTCGATTTCGAAAGCGGGGTACTTCAGCAGCGGGAACCTTTGCTAAAATGTGGGTACCATCACCAGCTCCAAGGCAGTCTTTGAAGTACGGGTAAAGCTTGGAGTTGAGGCGAATCTCAGCTGGAATACTAAGAGATGGCAGCTTGACGGTCTCAGAATGGAGGTGGATCAATCCATCAATGGCCCGATAGAAGTACCTACCACAGTTAGCATTATTAACTGATTAGAAGAATACTAATTATGAAAGAAGAATTTACCGCTGAACCGTACATAGGCTGCGCTGAAAACGCTCCCCCGCCTGCCGAAAGGACTGCCCTCCTCGTACAATCCATAAAAATATTGCCAGCTGCTCATCAACCTCAATATATTGACTGTTTTCAAGAGCCCTAATACTAACTAGAAAGCGGCGCAAGGCTAAAAAAGAGCTCTGAGATATTCCTAGTACTTCGATCATCCGCTCCTCCCTTCCTTTCAGTAACTCAGCTACATACATGTACCCCGACATTGCTGAAGTGCGATAGGGCTCTCTTCCCATATGAAGCTGACAGTAGGTTCCGACAGCATATCCCACCGCACAAAGAAGTTCAGGAGAAACATTAACCATCCTGTATAAGACTCAGCTAAAAAATATCTGTAGTTGAAGTACTAGTGGTAGCGGATATCGTACTCAAGAAGAGAGCGGGATGTGGAGAGCTGGCAGCACTGTGGTGACTGTGGTTGCCGGAGTGTGCGGGTGGGTGAGGTTGTGATGTTACACTGGCCGTTGCAAGAGACGGGTTTTCAAAAACAGCTCAGACCAAAAGGTCCAACCTGGTATTTCCAAGCCTTATTCTGTGAGCTTGAACCTTGCAGTTTGCGCTAGGAGAACAGTACCGCTCGGTTGATTCTGGCATAATTACCCAACCTTGTATTTTGTCCTCCTACCTGGTGGCGGCAGAACGCACCCTAAGTAATCCGTGTACCACTCACCACCAGGGGAGGGGGGCGGGTAGCGACCTTATGCACTCTCGTTGAACACGCGGAGATACCTAGGGGTACGGTAGCACTGCCCGCTGAAAATAGTTCGTCTACGTTAGGTCTGTTTCTGAGGGAAATGAGATCTGGATGGTCTTTTCTTGGGACGGAGTAGGGTGGCTGCGGCTGTGTTCTCTCTCTCTCTCT